ATGCACACAGGTGCAGACACAACACTGACACACGTGCTCACACATGCACACATAAACGCACCCACACACACACTCACAGAGGCACACGCACACACTGGCACTCTGCACACACACTCACTTGCACACACGTGTGCGCACACACACACACACAGACACCCACACCCCCACCCTACCCGTCCTCACAAGAGTCATTAGCAGAAGGGACCGGAGGTGAAAGTGATCCAAATCCTTTGCCTTGTTTAAAATAGCTATGAATTAATCATAATCTTTTTTTAATTTTTAAGTAGTGGTGACCTCCTGAGTCTGATCAGTCTGAGATCAACACGATTCCAGTTCTGAGGGGGAGGAGGAGGAGGAGGAGGAGGAGGAGGAGGAGGAGGAGGAGGAGGAGGAGGAGGGGGAGGAGGAGGAGGAGGAGGAGGAAGAGGAGGAGGAGGAGGAGGAGGAGAAGGAGGAGGGAAAGAGAAGGGAAGGAGTGGGAGGAGGGGAGAGGAGAGGAGGGGAATGACAGGAGGGTGAGGAGGGGAGGAGGGGGAGGGAGGAGGGGGAGGAGGAGGGTCTGCAGAGCCTGAGGAAACAGGCAGGTCAGCTTCTGGCCGAGCCCGCCAGGCATCCAGCTACATCCCAGGGAAACAGGCGCGTCCTCCTGTCCCCCTTTCCTGTACCGTGTCTCGGCATGTCCCCTGCCAGGTGGGCACCCTCCTCTCAGCTCCTTGTCACTCTCCCTCAGCTCCACCGGGTCAGAGGCAGTGAGGCGGCCTCAGCCTCCCCCACCTGCCCGAACACCAGCACCCCCTGCAGGCCAGCGGCCCCATCTCCCTGGGCAGCCCCGGGATGCCGGTGGTCTCCGTGCTCAGTGCAGTTCCTTTGGATGGGAGAATCTCACGGGGCAGCCGAATAGGGCACTGCAGGGGAGAGCTGTGGCCTGACTCGAGATTCTGAAGGGAACTTCAGAATGCCGGGGCCTGACCCCCCACCCACCCGCCACCCTCAGCTGTGCTGCAGACCCCGACAGCCTGGTCCTGATGCAGCTCTGCAGGGAAACTCGCCTCGGACTGGGCTGGCGGCCCCCGCTCTTGTCTGTGAGGCTGTGGACAGGGGCAGGAGTCGCAGATTCTGCCTGTGCTCAGCTCACTAAGGAATGCCCTGTCCAGGCCGCATCCAGCGATGGGGGGAGGGTGGCGTCCCTGCTCGGGGCCCTGGGACGGGCCTGGCTCCCCGTTCCTCCAGAAGGGATGTTCTTTTAAAAAGCTTTATTTTTTAGATTTTTTTTATTATTTTTTTTTCTTTTTGGGTCACACCCAGCAATGCCCAGGGGTTACTCCTGGCTCTGCACTCAGGAATTACTCCTGGCGGTGCTTGGGGGACCATATGCGATGCCAGGGATCGAACCCAGGTCGGCCACGTGCAAGACAAACGCCCTACCCGCTGTGCTATCGCTCTGGCCCCAGAAGGGATGTTCTTTCACCATCCATCGGCCCAGAGAGTGAGTCCGCTCTGCTGTGAACCCGTCCCTGGAAACAGCACGAGGCATCCATGGCATTTTTGCTATTAACTCAGAGCCATCGAGGTTCTAATTTCAGCGGATTTTTCCTCCACTGCCAGGCAGCCGCCGTCATCATTTACATAATCTCCGGGGCCTGTTCTAGTGAGAGGTACAGGAGGAGCTCAGGAAAAGTCTGTTGCATTGAAGTGACTAATCGATTTGCAAGGGAATCTGAGTGATGAGGCTGCCTTTCCAGGCGGCGGGGGACGGTCTGTCACCCAGCCCGCGTCCCGTCCCGGGAGCTCGCATTCATCTGACTCAGCCTTGCCACATCCGTCTTCGTTCCCTAGTTTCCAAACTTTCAAACGTGCAGCGGCTCCTGAACTAGCCCCGCGCCCTTAGGAAGGACGAAGGCGGGTGCAGGCCCTCTGGGGCCTTCCCATGGCCAGCAAGAAGGGAAGCAGGGGGGCTGGAGCGATAGCACAGCGGGTAGGGCGTTTGCCTTGCACGCAGCCGACCCGGGTTCGATTCCCAGCATCCCATATGGTCCCCCGAGCACCGCCAGGAGTGATTTCTGAGTGCATGGGCCAGGAATAACCCCTGAGCATCGCCGGGTATGACCCAAAAAGAAAAAAAAAGAAAAAAAAAGAAAAGAAAAGAAGCAGGAACCAAGGGAAGGCCCAGGAGCCAAGACCTGCTGGAACTTATTCTTTTCTTTTCTTTTACGCAGCCAACATGGCCGACCCAAGTTCGATTCCTCTGCCCCTCTCGTAGAGCCCGGCAAGCTACCAAGAGTATCTCGCCCGCACGGCAGAGCCTGACAAGCTCCCCGTGACGTACTCGATATGCCAAACACAGTAACAACAAAGTCTCCAATGGAGACGTTACTGGGCCCGCTCGAGCAAATCGATGAACAATGGGAGGACAGTGACTATTTATTTTGCTTTTTGGGTCATACCCGGTGATGCCCAGGGGTTACGCCTGGCTCTGCACTCAGGAATTACTCCTGGCGGTGCTCGGGGGACCATCTGGGATGTTGGTCTATTGCAAGGCAAGCCATAGCTCCAGCCCCAAGAGGGCTTATTCTTGATCTGGAGGGAGGGGAGGACCAGCAGCCAGTCATAGCTTTTATTCTTGAGTGAAGAGAGCCATTATTCCCAAGCCTGCAGTGATAGTTCACACTCCCCGCCCCCCCCCCCCCAAGGACGCCCAGGCCAGAGGATCCCACAAGCGTGCGCATTTCCAACCGTCAGTCCCACAGCAGGCCCTCAGCTGCCCGGTGCCAACGCCTTGGAGTCCAGAGTTTGTGTGTCAGGACACAGGCCTCTCCCACCTCTGGTCAGCTGCACTGTGGCAGCGCCTAACTGCAACCTGGACAGAGCTTCACCCTGTGATGGGCAAGACTGCGCACATGGTAAGGTGACCTAGAGGGGCTACGCCCAGTGCGTCAGTTCAAGCCCCCATGAGCAGTGAAGGGCAGCGGAGGCGGGGGGGAGGGGCTTCTTGCCTGACTTAGGGTCCCAGGGCTCCCCAGGACCACAGGCAAAATCCAGAGGCGTCTCGCATGTGGCCCCTTTGAGGCCCAGGTTTGTGCAAGGCCCAAAGGCCATCTGTAAACTTTCCCTGGGTGGGGCCCTCCACCCGCTTCTGACCTTCCACGTACCTGCTGACATGACTCACTGGGCACAGTGCTCACCCTGCAGTGCTGACACAGTGCTCACCCCGTGGCCACACTTGACCAGGCTCCGCGCCTAGCTCACTGCACCCCCGACAGCCTCTGAGGGAAGTGGGTGGGGCTGGGGGCTCGCTGCTGGGCAGGGCCACTGCCCCTGGCCTGAGTGTCCGGCTGCAGCAAAGCCAGGAGCCTGCAGAGACGCAGATTCCAAGGCCGGTGGGGGCGTCGGGGTCAGCATAGCACAAAGCTGACATAGGGGCAAGAGTTAGTCCATCCCCCAAGACAGGCGTGGGGCCCAGCTCAGCCTCTGTCTTCCCCCTCACACAGGCCGGAGGCCAGCGGGGGCTGCTCTGGGAAGACCCCCCCCAGGGGCTGAAGTGCCAGATCACCCCTGAGTAAGGGGCTTTCTCCCACAGAGGCTGGGCCCAGAAGCCCCTGGGCGGGGATGCTGGCGTCTGCCTGGAGAGATTCACAGTGTGTGTGTGTGTGTGTGTGTGTGTGTGTGTGATGAACACATGGGGCCGACTCATGCTGTGTGTCCATGTGCTGTCAAGTCACGTGTGTATGAGCACACGTGTGTGTGATCATGGTGCTGGTGCACACATACATGTGAGCGTGTACCTGTGGGGAGGGCAAAGAGGGCTGTATGTGTGTGCCTGTGTGTGTTGTGTGTGTCTGCGTGCGTGTGTTGTACACGTGTGTGCACGTGGGGGCAGCAGAGGTGTGTGCAAGCATGTGTGTGAGCGTTTGGGACGGGAAGCACAGGGGTCTACATGCATGTGTGTGCGTGCAGAGTCATGGGCAGAAGCACGTGGAGGGGGTTCAGTTCGTTCCCTCACACACAGGCATGTGCGGTGTGTGCACACGTGTGTGTTCGGCACTGTGAGAGGACCCTCTTGAGCATGGGCTGAAGGATGTTTGGGGATAACGGACCGTCAGTGAAGAGGTTCAGAGACTTGTGAATGAGAGGTAGAGCAGCACAGAGACCCTCGTCCCTGGGAATTGCCCGGGCCATGCACAGCCTCTCCTGGGCATCCATCGAAAGAAATGGAACACGCGTCCACGCCAGGCAGGGGCAGGCACGGCTCTGCTGCGGCCCTCTGGAGTGGTCCTGAGGAGAGCCAGTCACTAACCGCGGGGAAGCCGGGAGCAGCTGGTCGGCCCTTCTCCAGCTGGGCCGTCGTCTGGGCAGATGAAGGGGCCACAGGCCCATCAGCAAAGCACCGCGGGGGTCCCGGACACTCTGTGAGGTGGTGAGAAAACGGGACTGTGAACACGGAGCGCGCTTCCCCACACACAGCCCAGGCGCAGGGAGGGGGGCCTGGCCGCGGCAGCCACTGTTCCGAGGACTCCTCGCAGCCCACCTGCTGGGCTCTGCCTCTGCCCAGCGTGGGAGGGGTGATGGGGCGGCGGGGGAGGGCAGGAGGGGGCTGCGCGGCGCCGTCATGCGTCTTGCTAATCGTGCTTTCTGCTGCTACAACATTAGCGTCCTGCAGAGAAAAGCAAGCGGCAGACGGTAACCAAAGACCAGCTCTCCACGGAATGAATATTCTAAACGTTTATGTGTGGAATCCAATAACAAGATGGTCGGGGAGGGACGGACTCTATCCCGGAACAGGGACTGGCTGTACCCGGGGGGGAAGGGGGGGGCGGGGGAGGGAGGGGTGGACAGACGGACAGCAGGACATGGCCGTGGGTGGGGGTGAGGCTTGGGAAACCCAGACCCCCGCTATACCTTGGAGAAGGCTCCAAGCCTGAGCCCCTCTTTCCCTCCACACCCTGGTGAGGCCCTGAGCAGCAGGTAGGGCCGGTGTGTTGGTCTGTAGAGCTGGGCACGGGGTCTTTTCCGGTTCTTAAGCATGATGATGAGGAGTTCACACGTTTGCGTGGCGTGTGCCTCCCTTAAATCTTGCTAGGCGTTTGGCACATCACCCACCTGATGGGAACTTAGAAAAAAAGAAACTATAAAAGCACAGGACAGCATGTCAGGCACTGGCCTGGCACGCGGCTGACCTGGGTTCAATCCCTGTCATCCCACAGGGTCCCCTGAGCACCACCGGGTGTGGCCCCCAAACCAAATACTCAAACCCACACTCAGCAGGGCCGCTGGGCTATCGGGAGTGGGGGGCTAAGAGAGGCCCTGGGCAGCGTTCCCCCTGGGCAGCTGGACCGACCCGTCTCAAGGGCAGACAGAAGCTTCCTTATATTGCTGACCAGACAGAGCGAGCGGTTTCTGTAAAACCAGGGACTGCCCAGCACCCCGTGGCCAGAGAGCTGGCCAGGAGCCTGTGCCGGCACCAGGAACTCAGGCTTCCATCTGGACAGCTGAGAAACGGGGGTGCAGGGGCGCCCCCCTCCAAGGCAGCCCAAAAGTGGTGCATGTTGAAAAACCCTCCCCAGCATGGGGCGGCAGAGCCAGAGCTGCGGGGGGCATCCAGTGTGGTCTCTGCTGGCCTATCCAGGACTGTCCGCCCCATCCCTCTCCTTGCCGCCTCTATGAGACACGTGTGACCCACAACTTTCTGCTCATTTAAGGTACTGAGAGGCCGGAGAGAAAGTCCAGGGGGAGGGCTCTATCCCCAGCACCCCAGCTGGCCCTTGAGCCCCGCCAGGAGTGATCCCTGAGAGCAGACAGGAGGAACCCCTGAGCATCGCTGGGTGTGTGTGGCCCCCAAACAAACAAAGTATAAAATAAAAGTACACTAGGGGCTGGAGCAGTGGTCCGCGGGGGGCCCTGACACACAGGTGGGGCTCTCAGGAGCACCCTGCGGTCCAGGGCTGGCACAAATGTCTTTCCTCTCATCTGAGACACTTCTGGCTGTGCTCAGGCCTGACTCCTGGCTCTGTGCTCAGAGATCCCTCCTGGCAGGGCTCAGGGGACCCTACTCAGGACCTGTGAGGATACTGGTGCCTGCCATGGGCAAGGCAAAAGTCTTTTTTTTGTTGTTTGGGTTTTGTTTTGCCTTGGGGGCCATACCCAGCGATGCTCAGGGGTCACTCCTGGCTCTGCACTCAGGAATTCCTCCTAGAGGTGCTCAGGGGACCACGTGGGGTGCCGGGGATCGAACCCAGGCTGGCCACGTGCAAGGCAAGCGGCCTCCCCGCTGTGCTATCGCTCTGCACTCTGGCCCCAAGACAAGAACCTTCCTCCTCCGTCTGGGCGTCCCTGCAGCACCTACCTCAGGCTCCTGCAGAGCCGAATCCCTAAATAGTCACCGCACGGCCTCCAGGAGAGAAGCCTACTCCAGCGAATTGTGCGGAGAATGGAAAATTTGGAGTGTGCGCTCAGCAATCCCAGAGAGAGAGAGAGATGAATCCTGCACGCGGCGGTCTGCATCCAGATGCACGAGCCTGGAGGAGCCTGGAAACTTCCATCCTTCTCCCGAGATGAATTGGCTCCGACAGTTTTATCCACGTCCAGGTGAGCGGAGTGCAAAGCAGGCAAAGCTCCTCTTGAGGCTTCAAGAAAACTCGGTGATGCCTGGACCTCAGAGCTGCCGGCCAGGAGGCCTGAGAGGACAAGGGTTAACCCTCGCTGCCCTGAACAGCCCCTCACAGTCCGGTTACCCGGGCAACGGGGAGAAAAGGTGCTGACTCCAGTTCGAGCTGACTTTCCAACCTGGAAGGACTTGGCAGTGGGAGCAAGGGGCAGGATCTTCCCTCGGGGGTGAGCCGGGGCCTCCTGCAAGCAGAGCGTGTGCTCAGCCCACTGAGTCTCCCTGCAGCCCATCGTATTTATGGAAAATGAGGCAAGGGCAGTGCAGAAGGGGAGCTCCTGGCCAGTGTCCCGGGGAGCAGGCCTGCGCTGTCCCTGTCCTGGCAGGCGTGAGCCCCCAGGAGCTGGATTCCACTGCTCTGTCCTTCCACGCATCCCCGCCCAGGCGTCTGGGGCCTCGCGTCAGCCTGTCTCAACAGAATCCATGGGGAGCTCTCCCAAACAGTGCTCAGGCACCCTGCTGACACCAGTCCTGCTGTGCGGGCTCCCGGCTGAGTGCTCATGCCCCCAGGGGTGCTCAGGGCACCGTGCAGTGCCAGGTGTGCCCACACCCTCAGCCCTGAGAGCTCTCTGCATCTGTTGAGAACATGCTGCCGCCTTCTCCCCGACAGTCACCAGCCGGGGGGGGTGTGGGGGGTCTTTACTGCTGAATCCGCGTGCTGGGAGAGCAGCTGGAAGAGCAGCCTGCCCATGTTCAAGCACCGAGGCCAGAGGGCCGCTGACCCCGATGGAATGTGAGCGCCCTGGCCGGGCACCTGCTTGAGCAGAGACACCCCCCACCCTGCACCTCTGCAGCACGCCGGCTCCTTGCTCTGGGCTCGAGCCCCCCACACCAGCCCTCCCCTCCGCTCCTCTCCACACCCCAAGAAAGGAAGGAAACCGTCTCGCCTCCAAGAACCCTGGGCAGTCGGGCCTGGCCACTCTCGGCGTAGCATGGCCCATCTACACCCGAGACACGCTAGACAGCCCCGGGGAGCGTCCCGAGGGACGAGGTGACTGCTGGGTGAACCCCTGCCTCACGCTGCTGCTGCCTCCGTCCGTCCGTCCGCACAGTCTCCTAGTCCCTTTGATCCTTTCCCGGTTCTCTTCTCTGGCATCACTGGACCAGCAAGCACAGTGCTCCCCCTTTCTCCATAGGAAGCCCCCAGTGCGGGGTGTGCTGCAGGGACCCCCCTCGGTTAGTACAGCAGGTGCCCGCCACGCAGCTGCAGAGCTGAGGGAGGGAGGGGGCACACAGGGGCCTGCAGGGGGAGGGGGTGTGGGCAGCAGGGGCCCCAGCTCCTCCTCTGCACCCCGCCCTGTGTCCCACTGACTCCCCTCAAGGACGGGGGTGGGGGTGCTTCATTCCATCTTGCAGAAGGTAACACCAGGATTTCACCCCTGATCCTTGCAGATGGTGAATGCTGGGGTGCTGATCACAAGTCCCAATGGCCTGGCTCCAAACTTCAGAGTTTCTGCTTGTAGATGGCCTGTGTGAGTGTGTGCGCGTACATGTGTACACGCGTGCATGTATGTACACGTATACATGTGTACACATGTGTGTTTTCATGCATTTGTATGCATGTGTGTTATGTATCTGTGCGCATGAATGTGTGCTGTTTGCATGTATGTCCATGCATGTCCATGTGCATACGTGTGTGTGCTTGTGTGCATGTGTGCCCCTGTATGCGTGTGTGCGTGTGTGTTGTGCGTTTGTGTGCATGTGTGTCATGCATATGTGTCCGTGTGTGCATGTGTATTTGTGTGTGTACATCTGTGTATGCATGTGTGTGTGCGTGTGTACGTGTATATGTTCATTTGTGCATGTGTGTGCGTGTCCACGTGTGTGTGCACGTGTGCGTGTGACTCCCTTGCCAAGCAGCAGTGCTTATCCTGCAGCATGCCCCGAACAAACGTTGCTTCACCTCTGGCTTGTTGGCCTGGAAGCTCTGAGTCCATCAACCCTCACGTCCGGAGATTCCGGAAGAAACACCTGGACCGTGTCCGTCGGGGCAGCCCGCTGACTTTCTCTCCCTCCTCAGTGTTCTGGGCCTCTCGCTGCTCCATGCTGCCCACCAGATGGCAGCTCCGTCCCGGGCGTCACAGGCCACTGTTTGATCTGTCCCCTGGCATGAGCCCAGGGTTATATCAGGACACCTCAGACACCCCCTGAGCAACCTGGTTTCGGCTCTAAGCAGTAGAAAATAATCATGTCTGACACTTGTAGGCATGAAGGCCGGGGACCAAACAAAGCCCCCAGGGCCAAAGCAGAGACCCCCCCATACAAGGCCCCAGGTGGCGCCGGGCAGGAGAGCTGGCGCCGAGTTGCTGGCAGGTGGCCTAGGGAAGGACAGCCCTGCCCAGCATCCTGGCGTCAGAATGGGCTGGAGGGCCTGTCTTGTGAGAGATTGCACACACACACACACACACACACACACACACACACACACACACACACACCCTGAGATTCTGTTGTGGCAGTTTTAAAAGAGGGAAAGCAAAGTGACAGGAAAGAGGCTTATTGTAAGTAGAGCTACTTTTATTGCAGCTCAACTTGCCGGGGCCCACACTCTTGCACCCACACCTGCACCCACTCCTGTGCCCGTTCCTCCACCCACTCCTGCACCCGCCCCTGTGCCCTCTCCGGCATTCACTCCTGCACCCACACCTGCACCCACTCCTGCACCCACACCTGCACCCTCTCCTGCACGCTGCAGCTCCCATGCAGACAGGGAGTGCCTGCCCGCCTGCTGCGCGTTTGAGCCCAGGGCTCTGTCCCGGCACACAAAGCAAACCCTGTTTCTTTGTCTCGTCTCTTCCCCGCAGCAGCGGCCGGCCCGGGGTGGGCTCAGGGATCGCTCCTGGCCGGGCTGGGGGACCTTGAGTGGTGCCGGACATCAGGCCCCCGTCAGCCGGTGCGTGCCAAGCCTCACCAACGGCCCCTCTCTCGGGCCCTGCGAGACTGCGTCCAGCTCCCAGCCCCGTCTCCACCCTGGCTTCCAGTCCACGGCCATCCGGCTCCCATTCAAGCCCGGGCAGGCGGCGGTGACCAGTGACAGCACCTGCAGAAGCCTGTTCCGGGAAAGGAAGGGCGAGTGCGCCCCCGTCCGGCCAACGCTGGAAGGACCCGCTCTGCCCCCTCCCCTTTCCGGTCCTCTGCGGGCCTGGGGCCTGGATCCAGGTAATGAATCACCAGGGCCTGCCACTGACCTTGAGAGCAGATGGTCCCTTCATCTGGTGACTAACCAGAGACCCTGTGGAACCATCTGGAAGCAGGTGGAGGCCGTGTCTGTCGAGATCAAAAATAGAAGGGGAGCGGCCAGAGGGACAGGACAGTGGGGGGGGCTCTTGGCTTGCACGAGGCCAGCCTGGGCTCGGCCCCCGGCACCCCACAGTGCCACCACCGGAAGGGCCGAGAGGTAGACCTTTCTCTCTTTACTCGGGGTGTGTGGGGTGCGGGGGCAGGC